AATGTAAAAAAATACCCCAAAAATACTTTGATCTTTCCTCTTAATAATAGCAAACATTTAGATGATAAAATTTTGTTTTTGTCAAGTTTGGCATCTTTTTCATCATACTATGCTCTTTTAGTGATCTCATGGAGGTACCTATTTTAAAAGTTAATGTCAGATGGTGTTAAATCTTTCAAATTTAGAATTTCATTCTTTTCCCCAAATTTATTTATCAAGCACTGAAACCAAAAGAAAACATTGCATGCATTATTACTTTATTTTTCTTGTAAAAAGAAATAGGATTTAAGAGAAAACATTGGGCTGAAGTTCCACAATATTTGTTTCTTTACCAATGTATGCTTTAGAAGCAACTATTTTAAAATACAACTGAAAATGTACCTCAAAGATTAGAGGAACGAGTTGTATGCCAAGTTTTACATTTTGGTGGTATTTTTTAAACTAGATGCCTGCAGATTAGTGGAAAAAGTTTCATATTCTTATTTATTAATTTATTTTTTTTAATTATGAAACTTGGAGAATTACTTCAATTTTTTTTTTTTTTTTTGTCAAACAAGACACCCAGATAATCTCGTGAATTGTAAAATAAAAAAAATGCAATAAAAGACATTTAATTAGAAAAGCTTTTAATTGCTTTTAGGAATAAAATATATTATGGACCCTATTTTCTTAAAAAATTTTGATTAATAATTAATTTTTACAACAACTGTTTTCAGTTTTTTAAAATTTTAATTAGAATAATTTGTAAACTTTTAAAATTCTATATCAATTTGTAGCCATCAAGTGGTGATATTAAATTAATACTGTATTTACTCATCATAAATGAAAAAGTGTACTACAATTCAATGACCACCCAGTATTTTAAAAAGAATTTAATTTTTTTTTTTTATGAGATTATGAACATGGTAATTTTTGTAAATATAGACATTCATACACATTACCATAAAATAAGTAAATTTAATGTTTACTTGTAATTTAATATTTTCTCAATAAGTGTCTTTGTAAGTAAGATTATAAAGCCAAAGTACCTAAAATTCAATAAGATATTAGAATGCTATAAATATTTAAAATTTTTAAGATTACTGTGTAGTTAGAAAAAATTATATCAAAAGCTGTTCACATTGTATTCATGTAATTTCATTTCTATTATGTTACCTATTTAAATTTTCCAAACATTAGGCTGTCAATACATGATTCATGTCAAAAAAACACCCTTCCATCTTAAAATAGATGCTTTTCTACAATATCTTAAACTAAAATGTTTCAATTCAAATTAATTAAACTTTAAATCAGCTAATTTTTCTGATAACATTTCAGAAAAGTATATTTTATTTTTGAAAGATTTTTTTTCAATAAAAGAGAATTAATTTTGACTGAATTTCTGATGAGTTATATTATTTACACTATTTATATTTGAACTATTGTCTTCATCTTTGTTGATTTTATCACGTTTCAGCCATTGTATCCTCTGGCCTTCATCAGGTGTATATCTTTAATCTACAGGCATAGACTATTCTCATTCCACTGCTCATGTCTAGGGATATCATCTAGTTTATTTAAAAAAAAAAAAAAAAAAAAAAAAAAAAGGAAAAGAAAGAAAAAAAAATTCCAAACAATGTAAATTTGGTTTGAAATATAACAAAGTATTTTGCTTATTGGGAATATTAAATTCAATCTCTTGAAATTAAAACTAAAATTACAGCTTCAAGTAATATTTTTCATTTTAAAAATGGATTTTAAACCTTGGGAATCACTTATTTTTTTGTTGGTACCTAACTTAAATAGACTGATCCACACACAAAAAAAATTAGGGAAAAATTTTGAAGGAAATAATATTTGTAGATTAGCATACTTTAGGCCATCCTAAGGCTGTGACACACGTTTGAATTGAAAAATAAGGATTCTTTTATGATTTTAGAAGGGTTGGGGATCATTCTGTTATCGATATAGTACAAAAATCGATCCCTTACTTTTACAGAGTTATTGAACTTTACAGACAAAAGAAAAAGTGAAAAATGAGTAAAATAAAAATAAGATTTCACAGTAATTCTCAAATTTATTTTACATAGATTTCAGCTTTTAGACATTTTATTTTTATCCCACCGAGATTATAAGAGTTTGAAAAGTAAAATTTAATTTTTATTTACGGAAAAAAAAAAAAAATAATAGTTGCAATAATATTCCACTTCGAATACTATTTTTCGTTTTATTTTGGATCGTAAGGAGGGTTTATGTGTCCCTTTCAAGAAATTTACGTCCGATGCAAAATAGATAAAGTGCTTGATGAGTAAAAAAAAATCGTTTGAAACGCTAAAGTTGATTACACCTAACTTTTGAAGGAGATTCATAAACCTTCCTTTCGATAAGTTTAACATTTTTTATAAATAAAAATAAAACGAAGAATAGTGTCGTGAAATCCAATAATTTATTCAACTATTTTTTTTCATTAAGTTGTATTTTAAATAAAAACATTCGAAATGCGCTGACTATATTTTATTTTTAATTACTAAAAATCTAAAATGATTCGGGCTTTAAATTAAGTTAGACAACAAACCATCGTTCTTCGATAATTCTTTGAATGGCCTTCCCTTAAGGCTTATTTGCAGCATTTGCCTATGCATTTCCTCAAGAAATAAATTTTTTTTCAGTTTGTTTAAAAATAAATAAATAAAACTTAACCATTTTTGGTTTTTGCAAAATAAAAACAAAAAAGGAAACAACTTTGAAAAATAGCTAAAGATGTCTTTTTAAATTTTGATCTTGCCTCTTTTTTGAGACATTTGATTGCACAACAGAAAAACTTTTTCGACAAAAAAAAATAAATAAAAAAATAAATAAATAAATAAAGGACACTTGCAGTTGGGATCCTCGACAAATGGGCCGATATTTCGTTTCCTGGTACAAAAGAAGCAAATGAAATCGACTTCGCACATAAAACCTAGAGTCAAACAGAAGAGAATTCCTGGGTGCCTTATTATTGTGATGCAATTGTCAGCCAAATGGACTAATGAATTCGATTCTCACCGTGTGCCCCGTACTTTGGGGGTGGGGGGCTAAGCCAGGCCGAGTAAACAGCAATTTAAGTGATTTCTCCTAATTTGCTTGTAAAATTTACGATCATTTTCCAATGAAATGAAGAAAAATTAAACTTTTTATTTCATTTTTTTACAAAACAAAACGCATCCACAGTATTAGGCATAGTTAAAATATATTATATATATCAAACACCGTATTTTGTTTGACTCAAACGCACGTGGGTGAAAGTCCTATTTTTACGGAAACGTTGAAGTGAAGATATGTGCTAAATAAATTCTATGAATTAAATATCAAGTCTGGGGAATCCAACTTTAAGAAATCTGATAATTCTCAGATTAAATTGGCTAGTTTTTAAATTTTATTCAACACAAATGATGAGAAATAAAACTACGTGGGAAGTTTCTTTTTTGTGTAAAAATACATTTCATTGAAATTTAATTTCTAACTATTTTTTTTTTTAATTGTATCCTATTAAAAAAAAAAAAATTTCTCAACAGGTTTACTTTCTTAATGTTAGCCAAAAAGTTAAACCAGTTCACAAGACCACAACTGATCTTTTAATAACGTGAAGATATTATGCAAAATTTAACACATGATCAGGTTTTGCCGTTTTCGTTTGGGAGTACGGTCATCATATCTTTAACGAAGTAAAAGAGTTTTACTAAGAAATATTTATTTCTCTTTTGAGATTGGGAGGGGAAATCAATCGTAGTTTAGGGAATTGTTTTAAATGCGCTGGCAGATATCTTATGGAATATTGCAGCATTTATTCTTAAATTTCTTTAAGAAATTCGCCAAGTGAATCGACTACGCAAAAAAGAAATCTCCCACGCAATAGAATCAATAGTCTTTTTATTTTCCAATTTTTTTTAACCGACTATGTTGTGTAAATAAGTGAAAGTTAAACCACGCCCCAACAATTTTAAAAGGCATGTCGTTACAGATGCATATTTTTAGTTATAGTTTTAAAAAAACGACCTGGAAAAAAAAAACAAAAAAAACTTCTAATATTTTTTTATTCACATAAGAACATAAACCCTACTAAGAAGAATATAGGAGCCAGTGGTTGTTAAAAGAGATTTATCCAGACTGTAAAAGTTAAAAAACTGATATTTTAAATTAATACAAAGAGAAATATTTTATATATATATATATATATATATATATATATATATATATATATATATATAAAACTAAAAACTAAAACCTTCTAAAAATTAAGACCCCCCCCTCCTTTTATTCTTTACAATTTGTTTTTTTTTTTGGGGTGGTGGGGTGATACATAGAGTTGGATTTTAATTACATTAATTCTTTCTATGCAAATCAAAAAAGTAAAGAAAACTATTACAAATTTTCAGAAGACTATTCTTTGGAGAAGAGTTAGTTTTAAAATAAAAGGTTTTGGGGTGAGTCTTAAAAATTAATTTATATTTCTTTGAACATGATTTTGATAGCTGTATTAAAAAAAAAAAAAAAAAAGCCAGCATAGGCGTATATAGACTATGGACGTTCATGAATTGTCTATTTATAGACTCATTAACTGAACCAGTATATTTTTAAAAATACAACAAAAAATCAAGATCACAAAATGTTTTTTTTTTCATTTTTTAAATTTATGTCTATATTTCAAATAAGGATTTTAAAAAGTGGCAACATCTAAATTGGAATTTCTATATAGTATTTTTCAGGATCATATAAAAATTATTAAATATCCTATCAGAATATTAAAAGGTATATTGATAAAGTAAAACATTATCAAAGATTAATCCTCCTTGCTTCTTTTTTGAATAAAAGCGATTTTGTGTCCAGATCTCGCACGCAGTAAGTTGGACATGACAACGTGTGCCTAATTAATCGTTCGAAGACCCTGTACCTCTAAACCTAATTAAAAAAAATATGGCAGAAATCGTTTAAGTGACGAATTAGGCCTGTTAAATCTAAGTAACGAAATTGAACATACATACCACTACAAGAAAATACAAAACTTCAAAAGGCCAGTAGATATAACGTGCTATAAATCCAAGAATGCCGCCATTTCTCGTCACCAACGCGCTCTAACGGTTGAAAAAATGTTTAATCCACGTCAAGGGAGGTAACTAACGTTTTTCAAAATTTTTAACGATCAAGAAAAAATAAATTAATTACAAGTCACTTGTATGTCATTTTTTTAATCATTTTATTTTTACCCCAAGCAAAGCAATAAAGCCACTAAGACGCAAGAGGATTACTGAGTGTAAAAGAATCGGAGAAAAAAAACATAATTAAGGAGGGAGAACAATAAAAAAAAAAAAAAACAGGAATTAAGATGACAAAACAATTATTGCATTTAAATTTTAGATCAAAGTTGACTGGAAAGCAAGAGCCGGAAAAGAGTTCCACAAGCAAGAAGTGCAAGGGAAGATACTGTTAACATAGAACTTACAGTTACATCTAACAATTTCAACTGTAAAATGATGACATCTAATTGCCAATCTAGTACTGTGCTTAAATGTGTAAAGTCTCATTACCAAAGAGGAAAGCTCACCACAGCTTATAGAAAAGGCAGAGGGAAGCTACATTATAGCAGTGGGAAAGTGACGGAAATTGAGATGTCAGGACTGATGCAGATTCTTCTTTAGATTTTATCAAGAATCTCTAAATTCATAAGGGAACCACCAGACCAGATGTGCCAGCAATATTCAATGGTAGACTTAGAGCTGGTACGTACTACCCCCAGACACCCAAGGCTGATTATGGGCCTCAGAGAGTGCTTTGTGACCATCACTATCTTATCAACATTTGCTTTTTTCTACTTACATTTATATGCATTACAAATTCAAATAATCAAAACTGACGATTAAAGGATGAAAAATATTTGCAGATTTTGGCATCATTCTGGGTGTCTTTTTTTTCATCCAAATCCATGAACCTGTTTTGCTTATACTAAGTCTCGAAAAAACATTATATAAAATTCACTATTTTTTATCCATGTTGAATGTGTTTAAAATTATTCAACTTTTTAACAAGAAAAATCTCAAGATGATGTTAAAAATTGCTGCAAAACATTGTTGATTTATTTAAGATGGAATGATCGATTACGACATGTCTCTAATTGACATTGTATTTATTTTCAAATTTTCTAGTTGAATTGTTCACCTATATTGCATATGATCCATTATTGTACATAATTAAGTTACAATAAAATTTGTATTTTATATGAATATGAAAGTTGAGATGTAGTAGAGTGGGAGCTCCGTATCATAGATGGGAGGGTGCTTACAAGACCCTTGCACCAGCCCTGGGTAGACTTACAAATATGTAAGATCAATTCTGACAAGAAAAATTGTCTAGCACAACACAGTGAATTGACTTTCCTAGCAACTGATTCAATATAATCTTTCCACTTTGTGTCAGAAGAAAAAGTTAGCCTGAGAAGATGCAATGAGACACTCTGCTGGAGGTTAGCATCAGCCATACTAATGGAAGGCAAAAAGGTTCTCTAAGATGATTAAAAAAGAACAGTTTTATTTTGGAGGCACTAAAATTAACATATATATTATTATTATTATTATTATTACAACAACAATAACAATAATAACAACAACAATAACAATAATAACAACAACAATAACAATAATAATATCATCTCATTTCACAATCAGCTCCCAATATTCATTGCTGGGGCTTGATTCAAAGAAACAATATGTAGCTGCAGGCAGCACTTTTCCAATTACACTAACAAGGTGGGGTTTGTAGTGGTGCTGTAAGTATTGTTGGCTAGGGTCACCGTGAATATAATCAAGAAGGAAAACTGTGTTCTTGTAAAACAACACCCCACATGAATAATGCACAACATACATGAGAGAAAAATAATCAAGCTCAGTGAACATTAATAAAATATTGTATTAACAATGATATACAAATATCAACAATAGTATAAAGAAAGTTGCTTCCCTTTTTCCGTAATAAAAAGGGTAAGTTTAGCTAATTAATGTTGAGTACAATATTGAATGTTATTTAACTACAAAGTTCAATTGAAGTCTTAGCTAAATAAAGAATAATTCCACAGTGTTTTATCAGTGTAGAAAGATGTAATGTTCATGAGTGATATCAATAGGAATTAGTATGATTACTTGAATGAGTAATAATTAAGAATTAAAATATCAATATAGCGCTGTGCCTTATTTTCTAAGAATTAAACTGCTACTGGATGTTGGTTAACAGCGAGAGGGTTTTTATAGTTACGCATAGGCTCCAGTGAGCATGGCGCCAAAAATATAGAAAGATACTAAAATGCGCGATTGGTCAGGAAATGGACCAATCCGTGATTTTAGAGAAAAATTCAAATTACGTGCGATGGCAAAATTGTCATATAATAAGTATCATGTATTTATGAACCAATGACATTAAAGAAAGCGGAGGTGTGGCACATGTAAGTGATCACCACAGGGTCAGGATCAATCCCTGATGATTCCAATATGGATAATGTGGATAAATATTGTCATACTATAGTAGTAGAATGCCCCATTAAAGATGACCAGACCATAAAATACTCATGTAAACTCTAAAGAGAGGGATATTTCTTGTCAGCTGAGGCAAAGACTTTCATGAAGAATTTGATAATAAGCAATAGAAAGTGGAATTCTTCAGAGAGAACCTTCTATTTTAAAGGTGAACTCTTATGAGTGTTTCCCAAAGTCAAATTTGAAGAGGAGGTTGAAAGATAGATGCATTCTTAAATCCTGAAGAGGGAAGGTCGAAAGCAGTGTGTCGCCATGTTTTTTTAATCATTGGTCATGGTAAATTTAATTTTGAGTAGAAAACCTCTAGTTACTAACAATGTACATTATGATACTGATTTAAGGTTTTGCCTAAATTTTACTTATTCTTCATTCCCTAAAAGTGTCCAAGTAGATGAAAACTTTCTATTTATTGAAAAACAAAAAAATATTATTTTTCTTACTTCAAATAGAGTATCTATAATTCTGAAGAATTCATCTGTTTGTGATAAACAGCCAAACTGTTTAATATAGAATCTTCAAATTTTAGAAGTACATTTACTTTACCCAAGGAAGGGTTTTAATGTGAAAAGGTATTTTGTTCTTCATGAGAAAAGTGAAGTTGTATCTATTTTCTGTTATATACAAATGTCTTTTATAGTAATAATTCTTGCTTGTAACCACACAATGTAAGACTATAATTTCTCTTCTAGTTTTAATGCCTGAAAAAGAAAAGATAAATGTGTAATTTCACAAAACAATTCTATCTCTAAAACATATTTTCTATTTTTATTGTATTTATTCATTGGAAACTTGTTGCAGAATTTATGCTAAATAAGATGTGTCAGAAGGTGAAATTGTGCGAAAGCCTAAAATGTGCGTGTACATTATGCATTTATCCACAACAAATAAATTAAACGAACATATGAAGACAATGCAACTTGAAGAAATCAAGGAAAAAACAACATAGTTATAGATTTCAACAATAACATGAATTTATATATATATATTTGACATACACAAAGTGATGATAGGTTGCTTGTTAAATGTGGCAAGCGAGATAAGATTGCAAAGAGTGTCCATGCAGAGATTTGGTGAATGAATGTTGATGATTTAAGTCTGTTTGTGAAATTAAAACAGTTTGATTTCTGCAAGGTAAAATGTCAATTGTGTGAGTTCAAATAATAGTGTGTATGTGTGTGACAATTGTAAGTGTTGATTCAAGTTATGAAGAGTTGTGTGCCTTTGACTGATATGCTAAAATTGATTAAATGTACAATTACTATTTCGTAGTGATAATGTCACTTTTTTAGTAAATTGTAAGTTAAGTTTCTTCATGCTGCAATAGTAGTGCGAGTTGTGTTGAGTTGAGTTGATGAGAGGTTGGTAGTGTTATTGAGTCAGTGTGTTGGCACGTGTTGAGGAGTCTGCTAGCATCTCTGCATGGGAAAAAGGATTTGTCAACAAACTCTGTGTTTGATTGACTTGAATTAAGTGACAGGCAAGTATGGAGGATTTTTTTTATAGATTTTGGATTTCAAATAAGCTCCAGACAGCTGCATGGGAAAAAAGGATTTGTCTCAACTTGCTACATTTTTTTTGTCCTTTTTAACCAATGGGAAATTTGGAAAAATGCGTGTCAAGTGATGATTGGTTAAAACATCTTAATTTGGGGAAGAGTGCATCTTCCCGTACACAAAACAGGCAAAACATCACAGTAAAGTATGGAGGATTCCATGAACTTACCAAGAACAAATGAAAAAGTATTTTTTTTTCTTTTTAGCCTATTATCCACACACAAAACTCTGGGTTAGACAATGCAAAAAATTGGACACTCAAAGGAATGGACAAATGTTTAACTCAGAGGTGACAGAATGTTTCCAGGCTAGCATGAAACAGTCTGTTTAATGGTATTCTTCCGAGTGTTGACTTCAATGGCTCACTTTTTGCAAAATATATATATATATATATATATATATATATATATATATGTATAAATTAACTCACCTGATTTAAAATATTATAGGGTTCTTCTTCACTACACAGGAATTTGCTGACCATGTTTCCAAAAGAAAGGATAAAATTCTAAAACTTCAAATTTAATTATATAATTAAATTAAATGAAACAGAACTAATGAAACTTTTAATTTAATTTAATTATATATATTAAATTTATATATATTTTTATATATATATATTTTTGAAACATGGTTTCTTCCTGTAGCAAAGAAAAAACCAAATTTATTTATGAAACTAATGCTTCTAAATTTACATTGAGCAACAGTTTTTTTGTAAAAATAAAAATATCAATAAGAACACTGGATTATATATCTTACTGTTTTTTTACTGTTTTTATTATTAATATATATATATATATATATATATATATATATATATATATATATATATATAATTATTATTTATAAAAAAAAATTATAACATAAATATGTTATAAAATCATTACAAAAATAGCCATTTTGTTTCAACACCCTCGGTGTCTTATCAACTGATGATGTTGAAGATAAAATAAATGGTTTTAAAAGTTTCAAATTAATTAATGATCCTACACTAGGGGGAAACATTGTTACAAAAGCTAGAATAACCAATCAAAAACCAAGTATAGAAATATTCAAAAGCTTGACAACGAAATCATGTTATAATAGCTATTCAGATCTTTAAAATACGGGTAATATTAAAAATAATTTATACTAACCAATAATTATAAAATTATATGATAAAATTTAATATTAAAATTAAAAACTGCCAATTTTAAAATCCAAATTTAATCACTATTAAGTTTAAAAACTATAAAATTATTGAGAAAAAAAAAATACATATGTTATTCAATTTATTTCTTCGTTGAAATTACGTTCAACAAGACGCTATATCCGGTCATTTGACAATACATGTATATATATATATTTTTTTTTATTCTAAAGTGTGTGAATGTGGTCTTAAACTCATGAGCAAAACAACAAAAACACAATCAGATTATAATACATAAGCACCCAGACATATTTAGATATATATATACATACAAAAAAAAGCGACGAGACAGGAACATCTCTACAGCCCTTTATGAAAAAAGGAAACGGGGAAACCAACACCTATACACACACACAATTAAATGTGAATGCACTCTACATACACATAGACACCGATAAATACACATACACACATCCACAGACAATGACCTAGACAATCAGATACCACAACAATTAAATATTTAAGACTTAAAGTATCATTAGATAAATGCTAACCACTTATTAAATAAATATATATACTTATTAATACTTATTAATAAATATATATATATATATAGCTTATATGGGCAGCAGATCATTATTCAAACATATATTGTTAAATATAACAGACAACAAATATCTATTATGTTTAATCATGACCTATTGTAAGCTTCATATAGTGGCTTTAGTTTCGGGAGAAAATAAAGACAAAAACTGTCCAACATTTGGATAATTCTTATTATGCTGTTCTTTGATCTAAGCTTTTGGCTTACATGGGCAATCACCAGAGGGGTTATATTGACATTACAACAGAGATGTTCACCATCAAAGTTAACATCCTGTTATGTTTACATAGAAGTTTGCTTTGCAACAATAACAGTTATGGAAATTTTCACGTGACACAGAAAAATAATTTAATGTTTAAACAAACACAAATTGAAGTTTTATGCCAACAAATACTTCTATTGCAGCAAAATAACCATATGACTACACAGGTAGGTTTAAAAAAATTTACTTAAAGCCGAATAAAGGCTGATACTATATAAATCTGAATGGGATTATAAACACTCCTTTAATTAAAGCAGCTAAACAACTAAAAAATAACAATAGTATTGTTATTCAACGAGCTGATAAAACTAATACTTTCATTATTTTAAACAAACATGAGTACCACTCAAAATTACAAGCTATTTTGGATGATCACAATAAATTTAAAAAGTTAAAATAACATCACCTCCCAACTTAAAAACAATATCAAACTTATTACTGCTAGCAATACTGAAATAGAATCCTATAAACTTCAAATTTTTCATAAACTATTTCATAATTTCATTATTATTTTTCATTATTATTTTACATTATTATTATTTCATTATTATTTCAATAAAAGTTAACATGCAATAATGTTAAGAAACAGACTAAACGCTAAAAAGTGATAATAGGGTTGAGTTTAAGTATCCCCGCCAAAAGAAAAAAGTACAAATAAAATAAAAATGGCAAAGAATTAAATCATACAATACTTAAGGAGAAGGGCAAGATTTAGGAACATTAAGATTACCTCCTCGGTTATCCATCGAAACTGCAATCCACTGAAATAAGAAAAGAAGCCAGTCCCCACCACGGGCCATTTAAAAGATATTTCGTGCACCGGATTGGTTGTTACAAACATCCAATCAGATGCGCGGAAGATGTGGTCTTTCTTCCTCTTATTCTTTAAAAAGGCCAAAGTGGCTGTTAGCGTTTAGTTGGAAGGGGGAATCAGAGGTTGATCTCCCCTGATTGGGTTGATTTGGTGATGGGGAGTATGATGTTGAAAGACCTGAAACTCCCTGATGAACCAAGTCAAATAACATCACTGATGACCCCCTTGGGCACCTACTTAAAAGCGTATTTGCGAATTATTCATTAATTCATAATTTCACATTTCATAAATTTTCATTATTTTTCATTCAACCTTATATGAAAAATAATACCAACTCAATCTATATTCACCCCAATTCTAACCATCCTCCATCTATAATCCAACATATACCTTCATCTGTAGAATGTAGGATTAGCAAACACTCATTCGACGACAATGTGTTTGATAAATATAGCGGTGTGTATAATAATGTTTTAAAGAATAGTGGTTATAAGTACACTGAAATCAAGTATAGAAAATATGATGATAGTGGTCCAAAGAAAAGAAATAGGAAGAACATTTGGTACACACCACCATTTAATCAATTAGTCAGTACTAAGTTAGGTCATAAGTTCCTCCAATTGATTGATAAACATTTTCCTAAAAGTAACTCTCTTAGTAAAATATTTAACAGAAACACATTAAAAATTATAGCTGCACCAATAATCTTGAAAAGATTATAAACTTATCATACTTATTATATTATACTTATTATAACTATTGAATCTTATCAAAATATATATTTATGTCCTGGTTTCTTTCTAATCTCACCATTCCTGAAAGAATGATTACTTTCCCAAGCCAACATACACAACTACAAATATGATGAAAAATCAAAAGAAAACAGTTAAATCCATTACCCCATGTTTTTGATGATGTACAGCACATACGTCTATCCTATATCATAACAATCTAATCACAATTTAAACAATATTCATTTATAAAAAATAATATTTCTTGCTTAATTTTGCCATACCAGACAAACTTTTAAAACCTCAGACACAAAGTTAGCACACATGAGATGCACACATTTGATTGCCATTAGGTTTATTTTTGTAAATGTTTACTACACATCTTTTAAGTGCACCAGCTAACTTGCACACTTTTCTACAAATATGACATAAATTGTTAGTACTTAATGCCATTTCATAGTTGATTGGTACTCTGGTACAATGAATTTGCATATGATTTAATTTTCCTGCTTTAATCAAGCAAAATCTACCATCATTGGTTGATGTCATCATTATTTTGAGCTTTCATTGGTTATAATTACTTATTTATACTTACAACCAGCCATTCAATATGCAAAAAGATCTTACTATATCAAATAATGTTTGTACATGAAATGTTTAAAGTGGAGAAAGTTGCTGAATTGGATCAATCCCACTCTGTAAGAACAGAAAAACAGTCATCATCATTAGATGCTGTAAAGTCACAGTTATTACATCAGAGTTTTCCTTCTCCTAGTTGGATACCTTAATGAAAGTGAAAAGGTCAAACACACCTAGTAGGCCTGGTGCACAATTGGGTACGAAGCCAGGTATCTCTCCTGCACTTTTGTAAGATGGCCATTGATTCCATGAAAGGATTCATCCACCCTTTGACAGGTCTAGTTTGCTGGGGGTCTAACCACACTCCTCACAAGAAAAACCTGTTGGAAGAACTGTTTTTTTGCCAATAATCTGACCATGTGACAAATAGTATTGGAGTACATAATATCAGTAGCACTCATTAAGTTACCTGACATATTTTTTCTCCAGAATATTCCTTGTTTATTACCTTGTACCAGATATTATGTAACCACAGACTCAGAAACAAGGCTTATCAAAAAGGTCCTATTGGTTGGATAGATAGTGCAGAGGAGCAGGGTGGTATTTTTTTTGTTTTTGCATAAATCTTTATAGTTTAACTGTGTACAAGAGAATTCACATAACATGAACACTAAATGTAGTGATGGGGGGGTACTTTCTGCAGAATTATAGCCATGGAAACTTGTGTAATGGCATTCTCAAAGCAACATTTTTGTTTTTTTACCAATGTTTTTTTACCAATGTTTTATCCTAAGTGAATGAAGACTGTAGCTCTTGGTGAGGACCATTCTTCTTTGAACCCCACTGACTGGCACTACAGAATCACAAAGTACTGTACTAAATAACAAACCACATCCCTTGAGGACTTAAAACAGCCACAGCAACTAAAATGGATAACATATGTAACACAAAGAGAAAATAATGTCATAATCAAGCTGTTGACACTCACTCCTAATTTAAACAAAAGGCTAGGAAGGAAACCCCCATCAATACTGCAAACAGTGATAAGAGTCATTGAATTTGAAAAACCCATTTTCTAGAAATGTTATTTTAATAGAAAGATTTTATAAATTTCAACCAAATGTAGCATTTGTTATTCAGACAATGAGTGCCAAATGTTTCCTTATAAAGAAATAGCTGATATTACCATTGCTATTACAATGAATACCAAATGTTTCTTTATAAGAAAATTACTAATATTACCATTATAATGAACACCAAATGTTTCCTTATAAAGAAACAGCTAATATTACTAATATTATCACAACATTTCGGCCGTTGTACACTCCAGCCTTCTTCAAGTGGTTGGAATTTCAAACTGAACCCTTTATTTCACTGGGGTAGACTGTTCTAGTTCCACGTGCCATGTTTAATGGATGTCAGTTATCAGTTATCTCCTGCTAATTTCCCTCTAAAAGTTCTCCACTGCCTTAACAGAGTATTGAACTCACACTCTTTGGGTCCTGTCACTGGATCTAACCAACACCTTTATCCACAGTGCCATGTATCCTTGAGGATAAATATTTAATTACATTAACTTAATTATTACTTCACATTTCACATTTCCTGACAAATCTGTGTCTATCACAAAGTGGATATTTAAAAATGTTTTCTTATAAAGAAACAGCTAATATTACCATTGCTATTAATGCCAAATGTTTCCTAATAAGAAAACAGCTAATATTACTATTGCCATAGAAATACACAATTTCTATTATGTCTGCACTTTGAAAAAACAAGAATTATTTTTCTTTGTGCATATTTCATTATGACAGATTGAGTTAGTCACCACATTCAGTGGATACTTGTTAGAATTTTATTTCTATAAATCAAATTTTATTAAGATGTTTACATTGTAAAACGTTGTTTAAAATGTTCTTATGACAATTCATTTCATCTTAGTTTCATGATCATAGTTATTCCTTTGTATAACATTATTTTCCAAATCTCGTAATTATTTCCCTTTTCCTTTGAGTTAGAACATATTCTATATCATAATTGTTTTGTCAACTTACGATTGAATAATAATTCATGTCTCTATTCAGATTATTAAATTAGTTCACATTATTAAATAAATTTACTTGCGTTATCCAAACTACAAAACTTCTTTTTATCCTTTCTCTACTCAAATCAAGTGTTTAAACTTTTATAGGACGAAAAGTATCCCTCATAGCTGGAGGATCTTGAAATGTCAACAAGGGAAGAGTTTTTCCCCTTTAGTTAAAATCATTGAATGATTCTGATACTATGAATCAAATCTTTTCTTTTAACTTTACATAAAAGATAACATTAGTAAATTGTGACGTGAACAAACCAACAATCGTACCATAATGTGACACTATTTAAATAAACTTGTTCACTCATGAGAAAAAGGGAACAATAGAATTTTTGGAGATCAGCATTAATCAAATTTTCCTGAAGCCATAACATTTGTCATTTGATTGATTTATTTTTATGGCTTATCAACCCTTTGCAGATTATTTAAGACCAGAAAATATTTTTAGAGTATAAGAATTTTTTTTTGAGATAATAAGTATTTTACTGATGCAAGTCCTACTAATTAACCCATAGATAGGGGGAAAATAGCTGAATTCATATCTTCCCAAATGATATTTGCATGTAAGTGAATATAACAAACCTAATTGAAATTAGAACTCAGCTCTCTGATTTTCAATTCCAAGCTGTTTCCGTTACACTCCCCACACATCCAAGTTTGCAGCACCTAATATTCCCAAACAGTCACCCATCTAGGTACTGAACAGGCTTGATGTTGCTTAACTTTGGTGATCATAAGAGAACCGGTGTTTGAATGTGATATGGCCTACAACATTTGTTAGAATAAAAAAAAATTAATTTTTTATCGATTTAAAAAGGTGTTCTATTCCTAATATCAATACAGTGTAAAATCAATCCCTGACTTTTTACAGTGTTATCTGGACTTAACTGTTCTGCATACAAAAACTGAATTTTTTTTTACAAAAAGATTTCTTTTAATTAAAAAACAAAAATGTAGATAAATTAATAAAAGTACATAATATATATATTTATATACTATATATCTGTTTATTCTTCATTTAAAATAAATAATTATTATTCTTCAATGTCTGTGCTTGTGATTGAAGAAAAATCCCTCCAACTCAAAAAAAGTTTTAAAAATAGTTTTAAAAAATGTTTAAAAAATTCAGAAAATGCCAAAACACTTCTCCTTTCTCTTCTTTTTTATCTAAGTTTAGCTCCCAAAACCAGCCAACATCTTTCTTGTAAATGCCAAAACCCTTCTATCTGTCAGACAAACCAAACTTCTTAAATAGCTACAAATCAGCTCTGAACTGAATCAGAAATTTGTTACCAAGGGGGTCATAACTTACTTTCCCCATTGGTTAAAAAATCACCAAATGTACCTGTTTAAACCATGGTTGTTCACAAACTATTTCAGCAGGCTTTCAGATCATAAGACTTGAGCTTCTCTTTTTTTACAACTTTTTGAAAACTAAATTTTATACATGTACCTTTTTTATAAACCATCAGGCTTCATTTTGGCAGTTCTTTTATAACATCAATTTGTATCTCACATTATAGCATTTTCTTATTTTAAAAATATATGTTCGTAACTTTCTTAAATAAATGTTTTTTAAACACCACCCTCAAAAGAAATTGTAATAGACAAACCTTAGTGTATCTACTCAGAATGAGAAATTGGAAAGCTGAATTCAAATTCCAGTCAGGTTTGTTGCATTCAGATATGCACAAATACCATTGGGAAAAGTATAAATCCATCTCTTCTTCCCTTGGCTATGGGTTGAATAGCAGGATGGATTGGATTCTATAGCCTTGATTGACAACCAGTCTAATGCAAAGAAACGGCAACCTACTGAGGAAAAAATTTTTGCCTAGTCAGTCATGAGTTGAAAGAGACATGATTGCCTAAATGTGTATCACTATAAGACACTTAACTGACCGTCTGTGTTTATTATATTATTTGTTTTATTTACCGTTGGCTGAGACATTTTTTTACCAACGAAGCATGGTTCCACCTTTCAGGTTAAGTGCATAGTGACTTTCTGAATACCTGTACTATATTTTTGCAGAAAAGTTGCATATTTTCATAATCACCCTGACCAACTGTGTGGACATTGATGAACAGTGGAAATCAATGAATCTTTGTTTGCATGGAGAATAATATATGATATGATACTTTGCAGAGTATATGTAGAATCAAAGAATCCTAAATGTTATCATTTTTGGCATTAAATTGCTACAGATTTATACAGGTTGAGAATCCTTTATCCAAAATTCTTGGGACTGGAAGTACTTTGGTTCTCAGATTTTTTCGAATTTTGAAATACTGCCTATTTAATTCATATATAGCATCTATAAAATGGGTCAGCTTGGGAATGGAATCCAAGCATAAACATGATATTCCTTTACATTTTAAAACATGGGCTATACATATACTCTTAAGGTAATTTTATATAAATCGCATATACTCTGAAAGTAGTTTTATGTAAAATTTAATAAATTTTTTGTACATACAGAAACAGGTAATGACTCTAGTCATGTAATGCTCACACAGATATTTATGGGGTGAAATTAATTCACATAAAAATAATGGTTTGTACTTTCTGTATTTGTAGAAAAAAAATGTGATCACTGCTTAGAAAAAATATCTAAATGCAACACCAAACACTACTTCTACATCAGATGTGAGAAACTGGAGAGTGAGGATACATCATTGATGACATCACTGTGAGTGTGAAAAGGAAAATTGGGTAAGCTATCAGTTTCTACCAACGATGTTGTGTTTTGATCAAAATGTTACAAACATACAGGAACAGTATTTGTATAAAAACAAAACATGGATTCTGATTACAGCTAAATGTAATGAAAACTGAAAAAAGGTCAGCATTTTATTTGTAACACTGCAATGCAATAATCTTGCTACATGTAGCCATGTTGCTTTCTGAAATTTTCCATTTGTGGCAAGTCATGTCAGCACCTGAAAAATTTTCAAATTTTGGAGGTTTTCAGATTTCAGATAAAGGATATTCAACCTGTATATATTTTAGTATTATTAGTTTTTTAATTTTTATTAAATTGGAAACTTCCTGATTGATGAAAATGTAATATAGACAATCAATTTGTTGCAGGTGCTACTTCAAATTAGACTAAAAGTAGTGGCAACAATATTTTCTACAATGTAAGAAAATAGAAGACAATTTCATCAAGGCAATATTTTATATTTTCGCTTTTATATAACCGAGTAAAAAAAGAGAAAAAATACATTAGTATGCATGCAAAACAATGGTGAAACTGAAAGTTAGCAATTATGTAGGTAATACATGTGTGCGTATATGAAAGTTCAGTCACTAATGGGAAAAATATCCCCATGCCCAGGAACGAAGTCCTGTGGATGTCATCACTATAGAATGCTTGGTGTAAAGTAAGAGAAGAGAAAGTCAAGATGTATCCCATTTTTGTAACTGCTTGACAGCACCCTCTAATGAATTTTTGGCAAAACTGGTTAACCAACAAATTTTAGTCTCATGATGCAAATTTTAATACAGGAGAAGTAACTATATAGTGTTTTGAGATTGGAGGGTTCAAAACTATAATAGCACCCTATACTGCTTTTTTTTGTCAATCTCGCCTTTTTCCATGTGTCCTTCATTATGTTTTGTCCTGCTGTTCACTAGTCGGGTTGGAAGGGGCACTCCATGAGTTTAAATAGGATTCAACAAGACTTTGGCTGCACTTCAATTGGTCGAAACCAGGTTGATGCACATGGGAGACATCTCTGATCAATTGCCCATTCATTGGTAGTGACTCTGTTGAGTTTGCCATGTCTTTCATATACTTGGTCTCAGAAGTTTCCAACATTGGCAACCTCCTCACAAAGATCAACAGAAGATGTGAACTGGCTTCAGGTGTCATGAGAGACCTCAAGACCACTATGACGTTGTTGCAACATCTACTATACAGCACTTTCAGCAAGACCCTCACTCCTTATGTTCATGACTCTCAGGACCATTGAGGGCATGCACTGGTTTAATTTTGTGTCCAATGAGGAGCTCTGCTGGAATACCACCCAGCCATACTCTACACCATTACTCAGTGTTGTGTTCACTTGCTCGGTCATGTCCTGCAATAACCTAATAACCACCCTACCAGAATCATCTACTAATTCAACCAGCCATCAGCAAATTGGCGACAACCCCATAGCAGATCATGTGGGTGCTGAAAGGATATCCGCCAGAATCTCCAGCAGATTAATCTAAGCCTGGAGGATGTTCCAATGATCTGTCAAGACCATAAGAGCTGAAGGAACAAGGTGGCTATTGTAGGATCAATGTCTTCATGGCATGAAATTTAGCAGCAGCTTCATTATGTCCAAAATGATTTTCCAAGCATACAAGTAAAGTAACATTCATTCAATCACAATCAACATTCAAATCTACTCAAAAGTTATCCTGAACGGTCACTCTTTTAGTTCCTTTTGTATTAATGCAAGTGTCCCCAAGGGAGTCCTACTTTTTTCTTAATTTTCATTCACAACATTCCTGATAGCATCAGCTCTCAACTTGTAATTACACTGATAACACACCTAGATACTCCTGTCACAATATTAAATCTGATCAGTTCAATAAGGTCAAATTAGTAGCTGATGTCAAAAATAACCTTCAGTCTGTTGTTAACTAATGGCTTGTTAATTCCATGCCTCCAAAACAAAATCACTATCTATTAATCATCTGAGAGACTCCTTTCTGCCTTCCATCAGCATGGCTGATGCTAACCTCCAGCAGAGTGACTTATTGCACCTTCTCAGGCTAACGTTCTTAGCTGACATGAAGTGGAAAGACTATATTGAATCCATTGCTAGGTCAACTGCTAAAAAAAGAATTTTGGTTCATTGTGTCATGCTAAACAACTTTTGTCTTCAGAATCTATCTTACATATCTATAAGTCTACCATTCATCTATGTTTAGGATATTGCTGCTCCATATGGTCCAGTGATCTTGCTATGTATTTAGAGATTCTTGATAAAATCTAAAAAAGAATCAGCAATATTATTGGTCCTGACTTGGCATCTCAACTTCAGACACTTTACAACCACTGTAAAGTTGCTTCCATGTGCCTTTTCTATAAATACTTACATGTTAATTGTTCGGATGAGCTCTTCACTATGTTACCTAGATTTATGAATTTAAGCGCAGTATTGGTAACAAGGTCTCATCAATTTACAGTTGCATTCGCTAGATGTAACCATAAGTTCTATGCTAACAGTTTCTTTTCTTGCACTTCTTGTTTTGTGAAAGTCTCCATGCTTTCCAGCCAACTTTGATCTTCAAAAATGTAAATGCAATGTCAATCATTATCTACTGTCTCCCTGATCAACTCTTCTGTTGTTCTTGCTCCTTAATAATGTTTCTCTATTTTCTTATTCTTCCACACCCAGTAACCCTTTGTGTTTTAACGGCTTCACTGTGATCACTTGAGGTGATCTCGATTAAAAAAAGTAAAAGTAAAAAAAGAAAAGATAGAGCATAGAGCAGTGCTTTGCTGAAAATACCAGCAAATACAAAGTAGAATTTTACTAATTGTCAGCAAATTATATTGTTAGGTTATGACCATGATCATTCAAAGAAACAATATATATATAAATATATATTATAAATTAACTGATTTAAAATATGGTTTCTTCACTACACAGGAATTACCATGTTTCAAAAACTGAAGCTAAAAACTTTAAATTTAATTATATAATTAAATTAAAAGCATTAGTTCTGTTTCATCTTCAAGCGAATTTTGGAATAACTAATTTTAAATTTACTGAGTTTTAAACACACATACAATTCATATTTTTTTTGTTTCCAAGGATACAGAGAAATCCAATCATTTAGACAGGTGTGGTAGCATGTTCATTTTTATTAACTATTATTGTATCAATTATGAGTTACGTTCGAGAAAGAGGTTAAGCCTAGGGATGGTAGGGGTGCATTTTCAACGAATATATAAATACATATAAATTTATATGTATAAACATATAAATACATATCAATTTGATATGGATCCTTCAGTCATTTTTTTAAAATGACTTTGTATAATTGTCTGCACTTTGTTCATTTACTTTCTAGAACAAAAAGAAATAACTGCTTACCCTTGTATCTTTTGAGAAATAGATTCTTTTATCATGTACTTGGGAAAATATCTTTAAGAAAGTAATGATATAGTGTCATACCTGTTGGAACTCCAAATCTTTAATTCAGACAGAAGTACTCACTTTGACATTCACAGCTCATATGATGAAAACAAACATTAATTTTGTCTGGCTCGACACACCCACTTCTGGAATACCGCCCCAAAATACTATGGTCATAAAACATCCTTTCTGATCAATCAGAAAAAGACTCACCCAGTTTTCACAGATGCTGTCTCTGAGACACTGACTGAAAAATCAACACCATTTCCACCCATGTGGGCAGATTCGACCAGGCTAACATTAGCAACATACTCCCACAGCAAGCAAGCATAATCAGGACAACTCCAAGGCATTTCCATCTATCTCAACTACTATCGTGTGTTATATGCAAAAGAACTCTCATTCTCCTGGAATGAGCAAACAATTGAACTTTGTAAATCACTGCAAATTAAAAAAAAACACTTTTACTTATCTCAACAACATCTTATCTTCATTTATTGTTTTATCACTTATACTTTTTTTCCTGTTAATGATAAGGCTACCATTTTGGATGTGTGGGAATTGTAACAGGCATCAGCACTTAAAATGAAGAGGGGAGCTGAGTTCAAATTCATCTGTTGCATTGACTTTCGTGCAAATGCCATTAAGAAAGGCATGAATCCATCTCTTCATTTCCCAGTTACAGGATAAATAGACTGGACTCTCTAGCCTTGAGTGGCAACCAGTTTTAGAGAAGGAAAACTTAGAATTCCCAACCATAGAAAAGGCAAAAGGAAATCACTACTATCTTTCCCAAGAATGCTTGGCAATTCACAAAGAAGAGGAAGTTGGAGAGAGTCTTGCTTGACTAAGATCTGATGTAATTTTATGTATATGTAATAAAGGAGAATTAAATTAAGTTTAAAGATTGGGAAAAAAAAACAATCTCCTAATAAACAACCACACAATTAACAAGAAAGTAAAGAAATTTTGTTGTAAAAAAGGAGTTTCACCCTCTAAAATTTTTCATTGAGAATTTTTACCTTTTAGTGAACTCATGTGGCCCATAACTGCTAGATAGTAATTAACAAAATGATCAGATGTCTCTCTCACTTAGCTCCTCTCTCTCACCCCCTTTACTGACAAGTAGTCAGGAAAGTTTCCTTACTAAGGACAACAAAAGTAGACAATACAGACTATATGTGTTGTGCTATCTAACATTACATGAAAAACCTTTCTCTTGGTAAAAATATATCTGATTTCATTTTCAGTAAGAGACAGGGACAGTCCAACTTTGTTATATTAGTTTTAGGAAAGCTGTTAAAACTAATGTATCAATGCAACTGACTTACAACAACAACAGTGGCTACCAGATGCCCTTTTGAGCCATATACTTAACCATATATGATGTCATGACAATGTCACACTGAAGGAGCATGACATACAAATATTTTGTTACTTTGTGGAACAGACTATAATCTTAACTTCTACATGTCTAGAGTCAGCCCATTATCTATTCTACATATCTTCATAACATGTATGTCATATTTTTGTTTGAATTTCTGTAATGAGGAGTTATCATTATTTGCACTATTTATATTCAGACTATTGTTCTCATGTTTGTTGTTATCAGCCATTGGGCCTTCCAGCCTACCTCAGGTGTATATCAATCTGGATAACCTACAGGGAATTCTGAATGGAACAGGTTAGACTGTCGTGTCTTGTGAGATAGCCTAAATCTTATTTAATCCTGTTCAGTTGTTGCTCACCTATTTCCATTGAGTGTAAGTACACATTGCCTGACCCAAGGATTGAACACACAACCACTATGTCACCAAATTCACAAACTAACACTTTCCGTGGTGATGACTACAAAGGGAATGCCTGTAACAAGTCAGTTATGCCGAGGTGACTCCTTAATTGTATGCTCCTTAATGGAGTGGTGAGGTGGTGTCAGATTGGTGTGGTTGGGATGCCTGTTCTATGGAATGGGGGCCATGAGAAAGACTGCAAAGGAAATGCCTGTATTGAGTTGGGTATGCCAAGGTGATGGTGATGGGTTGCTGAGGTGACGAGGTGATGTCAAAGCTGGATAGTCAGCTGCTGTAGTGGGTCGGGTTTGCTGGGGTGACAGTGTCAGTGACAGTGTCAGTGACAGTGATGGCTTGTAGCTGGATGGTGACAACGTTGAGATGTTATCATGTCGAAACTGGATAGTCAGCCACTGTAGTGAGTCAGATGTACCAAGGTGACATTGTCAACAATGATGAAGGCTTACAGCTGGGTGGTGACAACGTTGAGATGCTGTTCTGGATTCCATGTGTGGAGAGTAGGATGATTTGTCAAGCCTGAGAGTGGTAACGGTCATTGAGAGGAGTAGTCATGTCGGTGGCAGTGGTGATGGCAGTCAGTGGCCTCCTGGCCTACAACTGCTCTGGTTGTCATCAGAGACCTACTTTTAAGCAGATCTGGTAATCCCTGGGGGCATCCCTTTTTCTGGCAGGAACATTTGTAATTGACCAGTGTCACTTTCATTGCCAGGGCCTGCTTCAGGAACCGGATGTGATGCCCAGATCCTATGCGCAGAGGACAACTTGTTCTCTGCCTTCATGGCCTTCACATCTGGCCAGCATGCAGAATGAATCAGAAAGAGATCTAATTGCAACAGAGTATAACATAAAGATATACAATGGACAGTGAATTAAGTTACATAAAAGTCTTACATATTTTCTGCAACTCCAAATTTGTTAGCCCAAAAAAGAAATACAGTTTAAATAGAATAGAGTGGTCAGTTAATTTTTTCTGACAGGTCATAATATTTTTTGCACCTCTCATTTCCAATAAGGAAAATAATAATAAAAAAAAAACCCAACTTTCTGGTATATCCCAGCCAGCCGAATGTATTCAAAATCACGTCCGGGAGTACTCAAATAACTTCCTCTATCCCCTAATGTTTATTCAAGATCATTGACAGACCAGACACAGCCAGTTGGGCTAAAAATAAACAATGATAGTTTAAAAAATGTCAGTTGTCAGCTTTTTTAGTGAGGAAAAAAAAAGTTGAACCCACGTCTGTTAATGCCCGTTGGATGAACTGATGAAGCACACTTGTTGAGACTAACTTACATAAATGTCAAGGTTCTGTTTTTGTGAATCGTAAAATATGCATCATTTATTTCACGCATCGTCATTCCTCGTTAATCGGACGGTAAGAGAACACATAATAAGTTTTAAATCTGAAATTATGTTTGCCTTCTTAAAAGAAATATGCTAACTTAAAAACTGCTTTGTACTATATTGTTAATAATTTTACATTTTTTTGTCATATGACGTTACAAAAAATAAACATGACTTTTTTTAAATCGTTAATTAATTATTCTCTCATAATAAATTTTTGATTATTTAAATAAATTTCACCTAATTTGAACATTTATTGTTTATAGTCCAGCTGTTTTTAGAACTTTTCTTTTTGTTATTTTAATTAACCACTTTCAGTACTGTACTAGTATGTTTTTGATACCAACTTAAAATTTAATAAACATAATTTGGGGAGAAAGATAAAAATTACACAGCATTTTTAAAACAATATCATAACGTGCAAAAAAGATACTGGTTTTAATTTAGAAATTTTACCCTTCATAACAATTATTAACAAACACAACTTAACTAACTTAGGCTAAAACAGTAACACACATTCAAAGAGACCCAAGCATTTTCCCATTATTCACACATGAAAATTTCACACTCACCAATGATGTTATTAATTAATTTAAACTTTACATTTTTTGATTCTTTTTTTTTTTTTTTTTTTTAAATAAAAGAAACTCTTGTGACGAACAGCAACGTGAGGAATTTCAAAATCGCACTGAATAATTACAAATAATTCTTTTGTTTGTAAAATAAATATTTTTTTTTTTATAAAGCACCAATTCTTAAATAAAAATATTTATTTTTGAAGTTTTATTTAATTATTTTTTATAAGATATGGGACGAATTTTCAGTATGATCGCACTTTTCATCTTTCTTTTTTTTTTTACTGAAATATAACATCATATTCAGGGATTTTTCTTTAATTGTAAAAAAAAAATAACTTTAACGAACACCTCCAAATAAAAAAGTACACAAAAAGTATCTAAAACTGAGTAAAACAGAGAGTTTTCTAATACTAACCTATCCAGTACAATTCATTCATTAAGTACTGAAAATTTTGTTTGAATCGGATTATTCCCTGATTTTTGACAAATATTTTAAAACAGTGGGGGAGCGATTTTTGCTTTAATTTCGGGAAAAATCCCAACGCATCCATTCAGTGGCGGTGCGTAAGCAAAATACTCTGTGGTGTATTTCAAACAAATTATATTGATCAGAATCGATTTTTTTTTTTATTAAAATCGATCAAAACGGCCATATTTGACACATTTGTAAACAAAAGTTAATTCTCGGTATTATTTCTGTTGAGAAAAATTAGCAAATTTAAAGTTAAATTAATTTGATTTGAAACAAATATCACTTACTTAACATATAAAGTGTTGTATTTCTTAACCACGGGGTCTTGTTTTGTCTGACGTGTTAATCGATTTATTTACATTTGATTGACAGCCGAATGTATTCATATGGTGGAGCAGACGATAATGTTTGATGGTTCTTTTTTTCGCCATAGCGGGGTGGACAACCCTTAAAACATGTGACTGTTAGATGATAGATTTATCAGTTTGTACATCCATACTTCAGAAATTCTGCACATAATCACACATACAAAAACAAATCGAAAATCTTTTTAAAATATTCAGGGTCGTCAGATTTACAATATGTGAGTAAATATAGTTTTACTTTATAACAATATTTCCTAAGAATTATCTCATAGGAAATGATTTTAAAAGATTTAAAAACTTTATAAACTATTCAATTTAAAATTGCAAAAAAATAAAAACAAATCTTGTAAAAATTCATTTTTTGCCAAAAATTTTTTTTCTTCAGACAACATTGTCTTTAAAAGTAATTAAAAACTTCTCTAATTAAATAATGTCTTAGTTTTCTTTCATTTTTTTATTGATTCAGAACAGATTTTCGATAAGACCAAGTTTGATTTTACAAGAAAAATTTGATGATTTAAATTCTTCAAAGAATTCTGCTTTTAACTAATATAGTCACTAAAAATTATCTCATTGAATTTCTCAAGTTTTCATAAAATTAAGTAAGGTGCTGAAACAGATGTAAAAAAAATATATTTTTACCAAGTTTTTCTAAAAAAAAAATTTCAAAAACAATTTTTTTCATTTGTGAATAAGTCTTGAAAATTTCATAAAAATCTGACAATTATTTGATTTTTGCAAGAATTTTCAAATTAATGTGCCTGTCATTGCAAAAAAGAGGCCAAAATCTGCTATGCTAAAAGTTAGTACAACTGCTGATGCAAGAAAAACAAGTTTTTTAATCAAAATTTCAAATGTTCTAAAAAGGTGTAAAAAATCTAATTAAATAACCAACAATATTTTGATCCTTGCTCTTAATAATAATATAAAGATTTTGATGATTTCATGATGTTTGGAACATGTTTTCATCATGGTATGCTGATTTTTTAGCATTTTCATGGTGGTACCTATACAAACATTCAGTATATCCTATGAGTGTCAAATTTTCTAACCCTTCTTTCCTCATTATGTGTCTTAGAAATTTCAACTGGCTCCTTCTGTTTTTAAGTATGTCCCTTTTATTTCAATTTTCCTCATTGCTTACATGGTCTGTCCATAGCATTCTTAGTATCCTTCTACAGAACCACATCTATGTTGTCTCTGTAGTGTTTCATGGGAACTTGTTTTGTGGGACATCATTTATATCAATGAAGTGGTTTACATAATGTAGGAGTGTGGGCAGTTTGAAATAAAGGGGACTACTGTGATGGTGTTCAAGTTTTGTCGTGTTGTTTATTGTCAGTGGCCATAGGCAGAGAATGAGCATGAAACATGTAGCAGCTGACCTGAAAAATGACTGACACAAAAAAAGAGAGAAAGCAACAAGAGATAAAATGGTGCTTTCTTCTACCATTGTAGCAGACATGCTGAAATAGACTTAATATAAGAAAAAGAGACAGGTGTTTTTATTTAATAAGTAAATATTATATACAAAGTTTAGAACTGTTTTCTATAAGTGGTTAATAAGGATATATAATATAAAAGACTCAAACACTAATATTCCATGGTTATAATTTATTACATTGGAATCATAATCACAATCAAATTCATGAGACCTACAAATTCAAAAAGAAATCGGAAAATATAACTCTGGGTATAAAAAACTTTTTACCTACATACCCACATGCACATATACCATAGTTCTTTTGTTCTGTTACACCTCTCTCTAGACCTTTCATACATTTCCCTCTCCCACTTGTTTCCCACACCCACACATACACTCTCACTAAAATTTTGCTTTTTATACCCGGAGTTATATTTTTCGATTTCTTTTTGAATTTGTAGGTCTGATGAATTGGATCATGATTATTCCAATGTAATAAATTATAACCATGGAATATTAGTGTTTGAGCCTTTTATATTATATTCTTTCTCTGTCCTGGACATTGAGTTCTACCTGGATTCTATCCTCTTGGGAATTTATATATATATATATATATATATATATATATATATATATAGCCTTGGCCAAAATTATGGAGCACCAATGAAAAAATCGAAATTATGATTCAAACTTATATATTTAAAGGTTAAGAATAGTGGAGTAAACATTAATAACAACAATCAATATTTGGTATGTCCTCCTTTTGCCTTTTATAACAGCTTTTATTCGTTTTTTGCATATTATTGACTAAGTTGTTGCAGGTGGTAGGATCTATTTTCTGCCAATCTTCATGAAGTTTGGCCTCTAATTTTTTTTTTGATGAACATTTGTGCATTCTCACTCTTTTCCCTAAATGGGACCACAAAGTTTCAATGGGATTTAGGTCTGGGGATTGAGGGGGCCACTTCATCACTGTAATCCCTTTTTTCTCAAACCGACCGATTGAAACTTTTGATGTATGGCATGGAGCATTGCCTTGTTGAAAAATTACATTACTTGGAATGTTATTATTAAATATTTTAGTCAAAGAGGTTCGGTAAACCTGGTCCAGCATGTTAGTATAAATTGTGGAGTTCATTCCGCCCTCACATGTGTACAACATTCCAGTGCCTGAAGAAGCCATGCAGCCCCAAACCATTACACTTCCTCCTCCAAATTTTACAGTTGGAACTACACAATCAGGATGAAATGCCTCTCCTTCCCTACGGCGAACATAAACCGCTCCAGGGGTGCCAAAAATCTGATGAAAAAAAAAAGAATTTGTTACAATTTTTGAATAAATGTTATGGATGTGTATTCACATAAAATTTCAATTATTACATCCAAAGTTTAGGAAATAGAAGCTGTTAACTTACCTCAAAGTTACTTTCGTCAGACCAAACAATTTTGCCCCAATCATCAGGTGTCCAATTTTCATGGTTTTTTGCAAATTCCAGTCGTCTTTTCTTGTTGGCCTGAAACAAGTATGGCTTCTTCCTGGCTTTGCATTCTTTTAATCCCACTTCTAATAACCTTCTTCTCACTGTTCGAGCTGATGTTTTTGTTTGCATCCTCCCTAAGTTCAGCAGCAAGCTCTGAAGAACTTTTCCTCCTATCTGCAAGGGATGCTCTTTTCAAAGATCTGTCTTCCCTGGTGGTTGTAGACTTTTTACGGCCTTGTCCTTTTCTGTTTTTGAAAGACTTTGTTTACTTGTAACTTTTTAATCGTTGTTTGAACCCCATTCCTTTAACATTCCATCTTCCTGGCAATTTCTACCTGAGAATATCCTTCACCAGATAAAGCAACAATTTGTGCCCTTTTAATCTCTGAAAGCTGCTTCTTTGGAGGCATTTTCAATTAAATATACACTGATAGGAATCAAATATTACCTGAAAATTACGAAACAACCTTTAGTATGACAATAAATCATTTTGAATATTGGAATGAATTTAGTACAAAACTCAGCTAAAGCTCTTGAGAAAGGCTTTAAAGCAAAAAAAATACTACAATCTACTGTTAAATATTTTACATTTGCTCTCAATTGTTCACTGTATGATTCTTAACCTTGAAATACGTAGGTTTAAACTATTATCTCAAACATAGGTGCTCCATAATTTGGGGCATGGCTGTATATATATATATATATATATTTT